CACTAAACGCAAACCTCTTTTGGTCCTCTGGGTGAAGTGGAATAGAGAAAAAGTCTTTAAGATCAATGATGATCTTATAATGGCCTACCGGAAGGGAGGCCTGGCTGCAGGGCCCGCATGAGAACCATGGTCTTGTTGATGGCCCTAAGGTCTTGTAATAGGCGCCATTTTCCTGACTTTTTCTTAATAGCAAAGATGGGTGTGTTCCACGGGGAGTTACTTGGGATGATATATCCTAGGACAAGCTGTTTCTGCACCAGCTTCTGGATGGCGGAGAGTTTTGATTGAGCAAGAGGCCATTGATCAACCCATACAGGATCATCTGAGAGCCAGTTGATTTTGTCTGTGTGGATCCCAGGAAGATCAATGGCCTTTATTGAAAATGGTCTAATCCTGTTTTTGTTAGATTTAGAATGGGGGAGATAGGGATTTTAATGCCTGTAGGGCATTTTGATCACTGATAGGGATTTGATTTGATCCCTGATAGAGATTTTTAGGCCTTGACTTGGGAGAAATCCGCCTGTGAGCATTTGTGCTGTGACTACATTATTAGGGCTACCCATAATCATTCCCATTTGGATTAGTAAATCTCGGCCCCACAGATTAAGAGGTAGTCCTGCAATAACATAGGGCTGTATGTGTCCCTGGTTGCCTTCTTGGTCTTTCCAGGTAAGGAGGTTGACACTACGCTGTGGGTTTTTTGATTGTCCAATTCCCTGTAGATGTGTCATAGTTGTCTCTAAGGGCCACGTGAGGGGCCAGTCTCCCTTTTTGATAATAGTCACATCAGCGCCCGTATCTATGAGACCTGAAAAACTTTTTCATCTAGTTGTAGGACCATAAGGGCCTTGTCTTTAGATATGTGTTGGGCCCAATATACTTCCAAGGACCCAGGGAGGGAAGCTCCCCTATGAGATGACATGAATGGATTGGGGGTAGAGACTAACGGTAACAAGAGCAATTGGGCGAGGTGCTGGTTAGCCTTAATAGATGCAATGCTGGAAGGCGTGGAGATAGTGACCCTAACCTTAATTGGCCCTGTATAATCTGAGTCTGTAACACCAGGCAATAGTTGCAGTCCCTGTAACGTGGAGCTGCAGTGCCCTATAGTAAGTCCAATGCATCCAGGGGGAGGGGGGCTGTATTGGGGATGGCCTGGGGGCCTATATCAGAGGTTAATACTGTGTCGGAGGCGGAACAGAGGTCCAGTCCTGCGCTTCCTGGGGTTGCCCTGATGAGGTCTGAAATGGATTGTTTTGGGCCAGAATGAACCTTGGTGCCCCAGATTTTTGGTAGTAGTTGGAGCCTTGGGGCTGGCCCGGATTCTTGTTTCCCTGCGGGGGTAGAGGGTTACCATGGACATCCCTTTTGGACCGGCATTCATTGGCCCAGTGATCCCCTCTTTTACATCTAGGGCAGAGGCCTGTTTTTTTTTTTTGTTTTTTTTGTTTTTTTTGTTTTTTTTTTTTTTTTTTTTTGTGGGGTTTGTTGGATCTTGTTTTCGCTTTGAGGGCAGTCCCAGGCAAAGTGCCCTGATTGGTCACATTTAAAGCATTTACCATTATTTTTCTGTGCAAGAAAGACTTGTTTGACTGTGGCAGCCATAGCTAGACCCTGGTGGTAGGCGGGGCCTATGTCTTCACATAGGCATATGTAACCAGATAGATCCTCTGTCTTTTTATGAGGCCGGATTGTGGCTTGGCAAGCTGATGTTGCATTTTCATAGGCTAATTGCTTAATTAAGGCCGCTTTAGTTTCAACAGTGCCAAAAAGGCGCTCAGCTCCCTGTATGAGGCGGTTGATGAAATCAGAGAATGGCTCTTCTGGCTTTTGTATAATCTGAGTGAGGGAGGAGGTTACATCACTCCCGGAGGGGAGCTTTTTCTAAGCTCTGGTAGTGGCCACATTAACTTGTGCAAAAAGGCTGGGATCATATCTCATTTGGGCCTTTTTGTTGTTAAAATCCCCAGTTCCCATTAACATGGGAAGAGTCCAGGGGTTTTGTCTAGAGGCATTATCTCTAGCAATATTTTCACATTGTTCCACAAATTCAGACTTCCAGAGTAAATAATTGCTCCCGGAGAGAGTAGCTTTGGCTAAATCCCTCCATTCATTTGGAATGATCCAACCTTGGGTCATAGACTCTAAAACAGCAAGAGTGAAAGCAGCTGTAGGGCCATATTGGGCGACTGCTATCTTTAATTCTTTTAAAGCTGCCACTGTGAGTGGCATATGGGTCCTGATGACTTGTGGTGCTGGCGGCGCCATCTTGTGGCTGCATGGCGCCATCTTGGGAAGGTACGTTTGTCTCCATCACCGGAAACGCCATTTTGAGGTGGGGCCCACCCTGATGTGGCAGAAGTGAGGCAAGCACCATTTTAGAAGCTGGCGCCATCTTAGGGTTGGCATCTAATTGGCCTGTCTATAAAGTTTGGAGTTGCAGAATGAGTCTTTGTTTTTCTTGTTCTACTTGGACCTGTTGTTGTAAGTCATGAATCTTTGACTCTAAGTCGAGAAGTGTGGTAGAGGGGCTGGACAATTTGGGTGTCTTATCGTAGCAAGGGGGTGGTTTTATGGAAGCGGCTACGATAGGGTCTGAGTGATGTCGACTAGCTTCTTTTGCTAATTGTTTCGAATCAACCTCTTGTAAAGGAGCGAGGTTGGGATATAAAGAGTTGTGGTGGGCCTCAAGTGGTAGGGGCTCGGATGGCAGTAGGCCACCATCTTGGGACTTTTTTAACATATCATTTGACTCATGGGAGGGGCAAGAAGGTTAGATTTGTCTCCTGAAGGGAAGGATGTTGGCGAAGCAGAAGCACATAATGCGGCTTCACCTTGGGTGATTGATTCATCAATTTGAGGGTCTCGGCAGCACTGTGTAAGTAGCTCCGAGATTAGGTTCCAGTAGGCAAAGGCCGTAACTGGGACCTTTTCAGGGCCAAAGACCCAATAGTAATCCTTTAATGCTTCTCCTACTCTTTCCCATCTTTTTGCATGAATAGAGCCCTCTAAAGGGAACCAAGAGCAAACCTTATGAATAAATTGAAAGTACTGCAATAAATCTTTTTCTTTAGCCTTTATCCCTCTTGTCTTTAAAGCTTTACTTAAACCTGACACAAAGCGTGTATGGTCACTTAATGCCTGACCCATGCCGGAAGTAAAGGGAAAGGATCGCCATCCACTGACTGTGACTTGAGCAGCGTGGCAGGCTCCCGTGTAGCGTTGGTCACAAAAATGTTAGTTCCATTCTTACGCGCGCGTCTCAGGACGGCTCCCTCGTTGAGCCCTTCGTGCCAGGAGCCCCACACTGGGCGCCACTTGACCTGGTCCATGGGTCAATCCGGATCCACAGGGCAGTTTCCTGGAGAAGGAACAGGGATTAACAGAGACAGGGCAGGAGACAGACGGAGACAAGTTGAGGAAGTCCGATCAAGCCTCGTTTATTGAGGAAGTGGTCGCAGCCTTTATAGGGGAAGGGTGGGCTGGTGGGACAGGAAGAGGGGTAATCTCTGATGGGTCATCACGTCTGTGTACGTGACATGAGTAGGAGAGGATTATGGTTAATGTAGGCGCATTATGTGCCCATATGAGGGAGAGGCGGGGAGACAGCAGCAGAGCGGTCACACCGCTCCCTACAGTTTAACTTGGATTTCTGTGGTGGACCAGTTTACGACCTTCCCCAGGGAGGCACCCTTCAGCAGGAAGCCCTCCTTACACTGCATGGGTCATTAGTTAGGTCAGCTTTTGTACATCCTTCTTGTCACCACTGTGGGAGTAGCTTGAGGGCAGTTCATTGTATTTGACCCCGTGCAGAAGAGTCAGACACCAAAGTGCATGTCTGCAGTATATATAAGTGCAGTGATGTACACAGCGGGAAACATGGAAGGCTGTTTATTTGTCTAAGTCCCCATCAGATCTGCACATTTGTCATATGCACATACAGTATGACTTCTTCTGGCTCTAAGTTTGAGTGTCAGATATTTTATCCCAGAAACAAGGAAAATGACTAAGACAGCCTCCCAGTTTGTGATAATTTTGTGACAGTACCCCTGGCAACCTAGTTTATTGCTTAAGCATTAGGTACCTTTTTTGGAGGGGGGTACTGTGGATCGAACTCAGGACCTCATGCTTGCCGAGCAGGCACTTACACCACTAACCTAAATCCCTGGCCTGGCAATGTAATTTAAACCCCTTATGTTCTTGGGGTAAGTCCTGCTTGGTTGTGGTGTGTGGTATCTTTAATATTCTGCTGGATTTGCTTTGCTAGTATTCTATTGATTTATATTCTTCAGGGACACAGGCCTATAGTTTCCTTGTGGTCTTTGTGTAGTTTGGTATCAGGGCACTTGCTGTCTTCATAGGATGTGTTCAAACTGGGCCCGGCCCACAAGTGGCTGACCTGGGACTCTGGGACAAAAGGCTGACCGGCCATAGTCAGGGTCATCTCTCACAGACCATCAGTGAGGGGAAGACCTGATGGCGAGTTATATTAAAAACTGCCTGCTCCACTAGTGAGGCAGAGTGGCAGCACACAGGACATCTAAGTGAGAGTTCCTTTTTGGAACCTGTGGTGCTGATGCAGAGGGCAGGGCTTTGGCTTTCACCAGTGGCATCTAAGGCACCTGTGTGGGGAGGGCGAGGCTGTGGAATGCATACTGAGGTCAGGCCTGAAGTTGAGATTGCTGGGTGGTGGCTGCAGCCTTGGGGGGATGGAGAGGAGAGGTCATCTCTGGAGCAAGGTCTTTGCAAGGAAACCGAGGCTCAGTAAGGGAAGAGTGGCTGATGCGAGGAGGCTGGTAGGGAGAGTGCTGGAAGCCTGGAGGAGGAGGAAGAAGCATGCAGACCTTGGAAAGGCTAGCATGTGCTAGCACGTTAGTGTGCTTTGCCCTGATGCCTCTGCAGCCCTCACCAAGGCTGCTTTGGTGGCCTGTATCTGGCAGCACTGGAAATGGCCAAAAAGCTAATTCCAGGTGGAATGATGTGGCTCTTGCTTCTCACAGGCAAAGGGTGGAGGATACGAAAGTGAAAGCGCTTACCCAAATGCAGAGCTCACATTTCTGGAGATCCACAACATTCACGTGATGAGAGAGTCGCTGCGGAAGTTAAAGGAGATCGCGTACCCTTCCATCGATGAGGCCCGGTGGCTGTCCAACGTGGACTCGACCCACTGGCTGGAATATATCAGGGTAAAGGCTCTGCTCTTTGTCTATCTGTGCCACGCGGGTCTGTATCTCCGAGTGGTTCTCAGCATGACAAAGAAACACGTCTGTGCTATGTATTTGCGCTTCCTTCGGGTCTGGTGGCTCCTGGCCTGTGGTCTTGTGCACAGCTTTTGTGACATAATCAAAAGGGGGTAATACTTGACTCAGGTCAGATTTTCAAGAGAACTTTGTGACCCTTTAATAAAGGTCCCTGTTTACTGCTGTAGGTTTTCTTGGTGTCATTGTTTTTTTTTTTTTAATTTTATGTAACATCTTACTTGTTTTCAATTGATTACTTGGCCTTTTTTCTTTTTTTTTAGTACTGGGGACAGAACCTAGGGCTTGATATGTACTTGGCAAATGCTCTACCACTGAGCTACACCTGCCAGACCCCTGCTGTTACACCCCTGGGGGTGTAACTTGGCATTCTTGTTTGGTTTATTGACCAGGACTTCCAAAGTTCTCCCCAGAAATATTTCATGCAGTTCTCAAAATTGACCATAGATTTTTCTGTTGTGCCTTCTTCTCTGAAGATGCTTCTTGCTGGAGCAGTAAGGATCGCTGATAAAATAGAATCTGGGAAGACCTCCGTGGTGGTGCACTGTAGCGATGGCTGGGACCGGACAGCCCAGCTCACATCACTGGCCATGCTGATGTTAGACAGCTACTACCGCACCATTAAAGGATTTGAGGCGCTCATAGAAAAGGAGTGGATAAGCTTTGGGCACAGGTTTGCACTGGTAAGTTGAGATGGGGAAGTTATGCCTGGCTAGATTGCCATATACAGGTGTACCATGTGCAGTGTGTTTGGGTTTTCTCTGTACCAGACCTGAATGTCCATAACAGAGTACCATGGAGTTATGCCTTTTTTAACAAATGAAATGAAACTCATATAACATAAAGTTAACCATTTAAAGTGTTCAAATCAGTAAATAGAACATTCAGTGTTGTATACCTGTTACCTCTGCCCAGTTCCCAAACGTGATCACTACCCCAAATGGAAACCCTCTCCAGCTTAAGCAGCCACTTCCTGTCCTTGCCTGCTTTGGCCCTGAGAGCCACTGATCTGCTTTGTGTGTCTCTGAATTTGCCTGTTCTGGGTATCTCATATATAAGTACATCATGCAATATTTGTCTTCCTATGGCTGTCTTATTTTCCTAGGTATGATGTTTTCAAGGTCGATCTGTGTGGCCAAATAGTATTTCCCTGTGCATGTTATGCCGCTGCATGACTTAAACAGTGGACATCGATTTCCTCACATTTGGAGAAATTTCTCCAGTTGGAGAAATCCAAAATTGGTTGCCAGCAGGGTTTTCTCAAGGGTGCCTGGCTTGGCAGGTGATGGTCCCTTGCTGTGTCTTCACGTGGTCTTTCCTCTGTGCACACACCCCAGGTGTCTGCCATGTGTCCAGTTCTCCTTGTCTCTGAGGATGCGGGTCCTCTGGGGTAGGGCCCACCCTAATGGCCTTAATTTTAACCTCCCCACCCCAGAGGTCCTATCTTTCCATATGGTGACATTCAGAAGTGTTGGCGGTTAGGGTTTCAAATTGGGGGCCACGTAACTCAATCCCAAAATCTGCTGTCAGTTCAAGGGATAGATGCCTAGGAGTGGAGTTGCTGGGCCATCTGCTAGGGTGTGCCTGCGCTGCCTTTGTGTTTTAGTCCAGCTGGCAGCCAGCGCTCAGTCTGCAGCCTCTCTGCAACTTGTCCCCTTCCAATCTGCCATCCCCTCTATGGCTCCCTGGAGCATTCTTAAGAACAGGGCCAGTGCTGCGGCTGCCCAGTGTGAATCCCCTTATGCTTTCCTATGGCCAACAGGATGGCAGCAGCTCCTCAATGCAGTGCTCGGAGCCCACAATCAGGCCCTCGTCCATCCCACCGGCGTCAGCTCCCCAGAATCTCAGCTACTCACGGCTCCCCTGAGTATCCCCACCAAGTGCACACTGCTCCAAGTAGGTTCCTGGCCACCTGGAAGCAAGCATCTCCCTGTCATTTAGAGTTTGTCTAAATGAGACCTCCACCGTAACTGTCACTTGTGTCACTTTCTCATTTCCTCCCCATCGCCACCCTCAGATGGTTCGCACATTCCTCTGTACCCTCACCATCTCCCTTGCACACTTGGAAGCCCTTACCACACTTGAGCCCTTGCTATTTACCAGTATTTCTCCTTTGCTGAGACCACAGTCAGCCATTAACACAGTCACTGATTTGTCCGGGTATTCTAGGCTCCATGGGAACCTCCCGGGTTCCATGGGAAGACCTGGCTTTCGGTGTGCTAGGAAGGCTGCATTGCACACGCTGCTAGAGTTCACTGGGTATTGGCTGTCAGGGCAGAACTGTTCCCTAAGTACCTTAAACACTGCAGAAAGGGTGTGCAGCTTCTGGGGAGCAGGGCGGTAGTTCCTTAGAAACAGCATTCCAAACCGTCCAGCAGTTCCGCTTGGGGTGTATACCCAACAGAAGTGAAAACAGGGACTGGTGTACATGGTGGCCCACAACTGGCAGCTGCCCACGTGTGCTGCCATGTGGGTGCGCTCTGCAGATGTCACACTGACTGAAAGCAGCTAGCCACCCAAGGACCAGTGCCACGTTTCCCCTTTACACGAAGTAACTAGAAGGGTCGGACTCGGGCAGGCAGACCGCAGTAGTCCCTGCCAGGGACTGAGAGGAAGCAGTGGGGGCCGACAGTTGGCGGGGACAGTTTCAGTTTGGGAAGGTGTGCAGGTTCCGGATATAGATGGTGTGAATGGCGAAGCCATTGAAACGAGGGGCATCACAGTAAATTTTCTGAAAAGGTGTATTAAGAGGGTATCTGATACCTGTGTTTATTTTTTAGGAGTATTTCTATTAATGAATCATTTTACTCTTATGAGTTTTATTAAACAATATGTACTTAATGGGAACATAAAATATCAATAAAATAAAATATGAAAAATTTATTAGGTAATGAATGTGTAGGGTAAACATGAACATTTCTAACATCACTGTTTACCTGCTTACAAGATCTAAAACATAACAGCGGAGATGAATGCCTAGGTGAAGTTATGGAAATACAAACAAAACGCTGCCACGGAAGCAATCTTTGCTTCAGTTTTCACACCTGAGGCAGTCCTCAGACGTGACAAAAGCCGTGCTCATACACAACATGCTGACGGCACGTGTGCTTCGCTTTCCTGTTTGGCAGGCCATCCTTGTCACCTCTCATGTCTTCCTCTTTTCCTGAGAGCTTCCTATTATTCAATGTACACTTACTAGGAAAATGAAATATCAATAATACAGAATATCAGATATATACTAGTGCTTAGAATTAACGTCAGCATTTTCTACATCAACCGTTTGATCTATCTGTTTGTTAAATCTAGAAAATAACAAATTCCTCTGTGGACTACAATGAAAATACAGAACTCTACCGTAAAAATTACCTTTACTTCAATTATGACACTTACGGTAGTTTGCACACATGCGGACAGCATGTTCCATGCACAGGTACCGCTTGTGTTTTGTTCTCTTTTGTTTGTTGCTAGGACCTATTTGACATCTTGCTGGTCTTCCTGCTTCCTCAGGAGACTCCTGTGATGCTTCACCGCTCTGCTCCAGAGCTCTTTCGTAAAGTTCTTTGGGCAGATACATATTGTTCTTCCTCTGCTGGAATTGATCATTTATCAATTCCAGTCCCAATCCTCTTAAGAAAATTTCTCCATGATATTTTGTGTTCGTTGTTTTCTTTGTAAATTATGAACTAGTTATGCCTAATGTGTTTAGGGTCCAAAAACTCAACCATTGCCCAACGCTTTGTGTCTTGAATAACATCACAGTCGCTCCAAAATGCATCAACAGCATCTACTCTGCCTTTCCTTTTGATGTAAAATGTGTTTCTGGCTTCATTTCTGTTAAGGGTTCGCTATCAGTGTTCATTTGTTTGTTTTTAGAAAGTCTTGCCACCTGTCCAGGCTGGTCTTGAACTCACAGGATCCTCTTGTCCCAGCCTTCTCAATGCTGGGATTACAGGCAGACACCACCCCTCGCTGTCAACTTTGTCATCGTGGTGTAACATTGACATTGTCAATATTACTTTTTCTTCACCATAATGTAATCCAGGCTAGCCTGGAACTCATTAGGTAGCACAGATTGACCTTGAACTCACAGGATCCTCCTGCCTCACCCTGAATGCTGGGGTTACAGGTGTGCCCGACCACATCCACCCAGCTTCACTATCTTATCATGGTGTAGTGTTCATGGTGTCAATACTACCTTGTTTTTATTTGCCATATAGGAGACTGATGTTACCTCTTTTTGAAGTCCAAAGATTATACTGTACATTTTTCTATTGTGAACCGTAACATTTTTTTCGGGAATCCCTGCTCTGTTGCTGTGAATCAAATCATTCCTGTGCTGATCCACTGGTGTGGTGTGGTGCGGTGTGGTGCGGTGTGGTATTGTGTTGTGTTGTGTTGTGTTTTGCAAGTGTCCTATCAGTGGATAAGTAGTGAACCAATTGTTGAACATGGCATTTGGCTTACTTTTTGAAATAGGTGCAACAAACTTGTTCATAGTGTCCTACTGTATTACTGCACGAATAAAGACCTGATGGCTGAGTTCTAGGATCAATTTCTAGACTGAAGATATAAGATGTCTCTGCATCCACGGGGCATATATTTTTACACCACATTTGAAAGGTTTATTTGGCATATATCGCCAAAACCTTCAACAGCCACGGAATGATGCAAGTTGTCTGTCGTTTGTCATGTATTCAGATAGTACATAAACTGCTTGACAGTTCAAGACAAAGGTTGCCAAAAATGAATGAATATCAGCCAAATTGTCCATTTTTTTCTTGATCTTTTTGTCGTCAAAATGTAGGCAGTTTTGAAAGAAATGAAATCTCTTCTCATTATTTTTCTAAAAATCTCAACACCACACTTGTCACTTCTCCGTAATCCTGTAGATTCTGACAATTAGAATGATAAAGTCCAGCTATGAAGGCTTTTAGTTCAGATGGTGACGTGCCATGGTAAATATATTTCAAGTATCACTATTGCTGCATACAGGATGTCTTACTTGTATTTCAAAACATCTTGTAGCATGTCGTCATGAAAGAGTTTCCACCACTGAATCGCAGTGTTAGCATTCCTTCCAGTAGGGTTCACCCTGGCAGGAACCTAGTAACATTTCCCAACCTAGTGCTAGCATCAGGTATACATGATCATTTTGTAGCATTTTGACTAGCCAAATATTTATTTACACAATATTTCCTTTCTCACCTGAATGAAGGTCTGTCTTTCTTCTGCACTTCTCTGTTATATCGTGCTAACTTCTTTGACTTAAGGATCCAAGTCATCATTGGCAGCTGAATCATCTAATGATTCACTTTCACCCTCCTCCCAAACTTATAAAAGCAGATTTTCATCTGATATGGTACTGAATTGGGCTAATTCTACAAGAAATATCAAAAGAAAACATAAATTATAATTACCACAGAAAAGTTACATGGTGTATAGTGTGGGTCAAACACCCCATGACACTGTTGACACGCATGCACATGGCTTGCTGTTCATTATACCATATGGATGAGCACAAGGGTTGCTTGCTGTACTCCCCCAGCACAGCTGCTGAGACACACAGCTGGCTGCCACTATGCTAAAGTACGTATTTCCATTAGAAAAATGTGTTCAGGGCATTTTTACCCACTGTAATCCCCCTTGAGTAGCCTTTTAAGTGTTAAACAACTAAGTGATTGAAATAGTGACTTTTAAGTTGAAAAAGCAAAAAGCAATACACCTCGCTGAGATATTGACATGATTTGGGCATTTCCTTGTTTTTATGTCTTTCTGAGGAGCAGTTTTATGAAGCAAGTATTTGTCATTCTCTCTATGCTGATATGCCGATTGTGTGCTGTCTTCGTGGTTTCTCCCCTTATCTTCCTGTTGTTTAGCCATCGAGTTCTTTGAAGCTTCTCTCCAGCCCTGACCCCTTAGCTGTCTTTTTATTTGTGGCATTTTCATTGTTGTATCAGAAGTTAGGAAAGACAGTACTAGGTTTCCTTATGCAAGGACTCTACCCCCTTAGCATTTCAAGAGAGGAGATTTGGCTTGCTCTGAGTCATGTAGAGTTGCTTAAAATCTGTAGGTTGTTCTGTTCATCACAGTTCTGATTGTTTAGACTTCCTGAAACTTGTGGAAGACAGAAAACTGTGTGCCAGAAAACTGGCAGAGAAAATGGCATTCACGATATACTTTGCAAGTTGTTGATTGGTACTCTTGCGTTGGTCTTGTGCATTTGGGGCACTACTTACTTTTGCACGGAAAAGTCAGCTAGCTGGTTGCTTATCATTTCTTTTCAGCTTTAGAAAGCAACCAACATGTAAAAAGATAGTAAACTGAAATCTGGTTTCCTAAGACAAATGAAAGTCAATTCAATTTGATGAGCATTTTTGAGTGCTTTTTTTAGCACTAGAATTGAACTTGGGGCCTGTGTACGCTAGGCAAGTGCTCTACCCGAGCTACATCCCTAGCTGGTAGGCCTGATGAGCTAGGTAGTACTCCTTCCATCAGGAAATTTAAATTGACTTTTAAGAGGAGCCTAGCACTCACAAAGATACTTAACCTTTTGTTTCTTTTCAGCGAGTGGGCCATGGCGACGACAACCATGCAGATGCTGATCGATCACCCATATTTCTTCAGTTTATTGATTGTGTTTGGCAAATGACAAGACAGGTAAGAAATTTCAAGTGTATTTCTAACCTATAGACTTTTCATGTCAACATTTTTTTTTAATTTTTGGGGGGATCTTTTTTGGTTTTGGTACTGAGGATCTAACTCATGACTTGCCAGGAAGGCACTTATGCCACTGAGCTAAACCCCTGGCCCTCAATTCAGCATTTTAAAGTTGGAGTGTAGATAAATGCATTAGTCAGCTTTCCATTGTTGTGACAAAATACCTGGGAAAGTCAGTTTAAAGGATGAAAGGGTTACTGCAGAGGTTTCAGTCTGATCAGCTGGCTCCATTGCTACTAGACCTGTGGTGAGGCGGACACATCATGGGAGAAGGGGCTAGGAGCAGATCTCAAGGTGATAGCCCCATGACCCGATCCTTTCAGCTGGGCCCCAGCTCCTGTCTCCATCAATCATGCCATCAAGTTGTGCTGTCATCAGTGACAAGCCATCAGTGATGGGGTTAGAGCCCTGTGAGCCAGCCGCTCTCCCAAAGCACATCAGCATGGGAATATGCTAGATCTCAGCCATAAAAATAAGCTTTCGTTGTCATTCCATTCAAAAAGAAGGCTTATATGTGTGTGAGGTGTGACCCCTTCTCTTATGTAGAGCACTTTGATTGTAATTCACTTAGAAATATAAGCAGAAAATTAGAAACTATCAGTTTCACGCCCAGAGTTTCTTTTCTTTTGCCAGTGGTTTTTGTCAAGCCCCTGGCCCAGCAGCTGTGCAAGCCAGGGCCTTCCTCTAGTTAATTCTGCTACTGTGCCCTTTTGTACCAGATTAAGGAAACCTGCACAGTCTCCTGCCAGGCAGTTAATCTAAGATTGGGCCAGAGGGCAGAAATGGGATATGGCAAACTGCTAGTAAATACAGTCATGCCAGGAAATCCAGGAATCTCCACACTCTGCCCCAAACCACAGCCCCTCAGACATTTAGGTCACCAGGGGAGGCGTGCGTCCAGTGACAGCCGGCGGAGAAGACACTGCATAGCATCGTATCATTAGCTGTTCCTTAGCCCCCGCCCCCAGAGTACAGGGCCCTACGCCAGGAGCTACACGGGTGCCCCTTCCCTAAGTTAAGCCCTGTGGCTTCAGACCACAGCTGGCCTTAGGGCCTGTCTCCGGCATGCAAAGCTGGATTTCAGTCGTAGCCCGGGACAAGGGGTAAGCCTGGGCAGTGGCCCTGGATCCAGGGAAACAGAAGGAGGAAGCGAAGGAGAGAGTTGCACTCTCCACGCGCTAGCCAGCCTAGCTGAAGTGGAGGCTGTGGGCTAGAGCAGGCGGACTGGGAGCCGGGGCCTGTACCCTGTGCCTCCGCCAGAGCTCTGCTGGCCATAGGGAGGGAACGGCTGGAGCACCTCTGGTGACTGGCAGGGGTTCCTGCAACAGCGCTGTGCTCACGTGTGAGCCTCTCGGTGGCCTTGTCACATTTAGCCCAGGCTTCATGGGCCATGTGCCTGCCACTGCTTAGAGCTGTGGACAGCCACAAGTCTGGCATGCTCACTGGGGCAGAAGGAAGATTGAGGACTCACGTGTCTCTTCTGTCCCCACTGCTGCCCCTGCATCTTGTGGGGACACCTGGCTCTTTGCAGTCCCACTGGTTCTCTGGGGGTGGAACTGCACCCTGTTTTCAGAGGCTCCAGAGGGTAATCACATGCGCTTACCTAGGCAGATTGCTGTGCTAGACCAGTCCTGCCAAGACTGCTGTGTACACAGCCCTGGAGTTCTCCACCAGAGAGTGCACACATGGTACACATGCACACACATGCACACACACACACACACACACACACACACAGCCCTGGAGTCCTCCAGGACAACAAAAACGCGGGATCCACACACATGCACACACACACACACAGCCCTCGAGTCCTCCATGAGAAAAAAAAGTGTGATCCACACACATGCACACACACACACACACACACACACACACACACACAACCCTGGAGTTCACCAGAGAACAAGCACATGATCCACATGCACGCACATGCACACACACACACACACACACACACACAGACATGGAGTTCACCAGAGAGCAAGGACATAATGCACACACACTAAGCCCTGGAGTTCTCCACCAGAGAGTGCACACATGGTGCACACGCACACCCACACATGCACACACAGCCCTGGAGTTCTCCACCAGAGAATAAGCACTTGATCCACATGCACGCACATGCCCACACACTCTGCTGGACTTCTCCAACAGAGAGCGTGCACATGGTGCACACGCATGCACACACACACGCACACACACAGACCTGGAGTTCTTCACTGGAGAACAAGTGTGTGATCCACACATACGCACATGCGCACACACAAACACATCTGGAGTTTTCCACCAGAGAACAAGCACATGATTCACACACATGCACATGCACACACACACAACCCTGCAGTTCTTCCACCAGAGAGTGTGCACATAGTATACACACACACACATGCACACACACACACACAGAGCCCTGGAGTTCTGCACGAGAACAAGCATGTGATGCACACGTGTGCGCACGCACACACACAGCCCTGAGTCCTCCACCAGAGAACAAGCACATGATACACACGCATGCACATGTACACACAAACACACAGACACAGCCCTGGAGGTCTCCACAAGAGAACAAGCGCTTGATGCACAACACACATCCGCACACACACACACAGCCCTGGAGCTCACCAGCGAACAAGGGCATGATCTACACACACGCGCAAGCACACACACACACAGCCCTGGACTTCACCAGAGAACAAGCACATGATCCACATACACACACACACACACACACACACACACACAGCCCTGGTGTTCTTCACCTAGAGCACACACATGGTGCACATGCACACACACACACACACACACACACACACACACACACATGCACACACAGCTCTGGAATTCTCCTCCAGAGAATAAGCACATTATCCACATGCACACACACACGCAAACCTGGAGTTCTCCACCAGAGAACAAGCACATGATCCACACGCATGCATATGAGCACATACACTCACACAACCTGGAGTTCTCCACCAGAGAACAAGCATGTGATCCACACGCACACACATGCACACACACACAGAGTCTTGGAGTTTTCCACCAGACAACAAGCACGTGATCCACAAGCATGCACATGCACATACACACTCCTGGAGTTCTCCACCATAGAACATGCATATGGTGCACACACATGCACAGACATGCACGCGCACACACACAGCCCTGGAGTTCTGCCCCAGAAAACAAGTGTGTGATTCACACACACACACACACATGCACACACAGACACACAGCCCTGGAGTTCTCCACAAGAGAATAAGCACATGATCCACATACATGCACACACACACACACACACACACACACACCCTACATTTCTCCTCCAGAGAGCACACACAGCCCTGGAGTTCTCCACCAGAGATCAAGCACATGATTGACACGCATGCAAATGTACACACAAACACACAGACACAGCCCTGGAGGTCTCCACAAGAGAACAAGCGCTTGATGCACAACACACATCCGAACACACATACAGCCCTGGAGCTCACCAGCGAACAAGGGCATGATCTACACACACGCACAAGCACACACACACACAGCCCTGGACTTCACCAGAGAACAAGCACATGATCCACATACACGCACACACACAAACACACAGCCCTGGTTTTTTCACCTAAGAGAGCACACACATGGTGCACACGCACACACACACACATGCACACACATCTCTGGAATTCTCCACCAGAGAATAAGCACATTATCCACATGCACACACATGCACACACACACGCAAACCTGGAGATCTCCACCAGAGAACAAGCACATGATCCACACGCATGCACATGTACACACAAACACAAAGACACAGCCCTGGAGGTCTCCACAAGAGAACAAGCGCTTGATGCACAACACACATCCGCACACACACACACAGCCCTGGAGCTCATCAGCGAACAAGGGCATGATCTACACACACACACACATGCACACACACACAGCCCTGGACTTCACCAGAGAACAAGCACATGATCCACATGCACGCACACACACAAACACACACACACAGCCCTGGTGTTCTCCACCTAGAGAGCACACACATGGTGCACGCAAACACACACACACACATGAACACACAGCTCTGGAATTCTCCACCAGAGAATAAGCACATTATCCACACGCACACACATGCACACACACACGCAAACCTGGAGTTCTGCACTAGAGAATAAACACATGATCCGCACGCATGCACATGAGCACATACACTCACACAACCTGGAGTTCTCCACCAGAGAACAAGCATGTGATCCACACGCACACACATGCACACACACACAGAGTCTTGGAGTTTTCCACCAGACAACAAGCACGTGATCCACAAGCATGCACATGCACATACACACTCCTGGAGTTCTCCACCATAGAACATGCATATGGTGCACACACATGCACAGCCATGCACGCGCACACACACAGCCCTGGAGTTCTGCCCCAGAAAACAAGTGTGTGATTCACACACACACACACACATGCACACACAGACACACAGCCCTGAAGTTCTCCACAAGAGAATAAGCACATGATCCACATACATGCACACACACACACACACACACACACACACACCCTACATTTCTCCTCCAGAGAGCACACACAGCCCTGGAGTTCTCCACCAGAGATCAAGCACATGATTGACACGCATGCAAATGTACACACAAACACACAGACACAGCCCTGGAGGTCTCCACAAGAGAACAAGCGCTTGATGCACAACACACATCCGAACACACACAAAGCCCTGGAGCTCACCAGCGAACAAGGGCATGATCTACACACACGCACAAGCACACACACACACAGCCCTGGACTTCACCAGAGAACAAGCACATGATCCACATACACGCACACACACAAACACACAGCCCTGGTTTTTTCACCTAAGAGAGCACACACATGGTGCACACGCACACACACACACATGCACACACATC